GGGGGGGGAATATCGTGGAATAGATGAGGCAGTAAGACAATGTGCAGAAACGATTACCTTCAGCGCTTCAGCTTGCCTGCCATTGAATGATCTACTCTTACTAGGCCGTTTTGGGTGTGGATGCGATGTACCTGTACCCGAACCATTTAAAAGACCAGCAGTATGTTCTGCATCCTTTCCATCTTTATTCTTATTCACCCCAGTTGAAGAAATGTGTTTAGGGCCTGATGACTTTTCATTCTTGCTCTTGATTTGACCCCTCTCTGGTTTCACTTGCTTGGGAGGATCAACATTCTTTTCCTCTCCTTCCTAAAAAGAATACAATCAAAGAAGAAAGTGTACCTATTAGAATCAAATAAGATAAACTACTTCATCCGAAGAAACAGATTATACAAAGTAGTCTGCCTTAGAAAGGGTTGATATATCGCTTTCTGCCGGAGAATTTAATCCCTCTGTGAGTTCCATTGTGGTCGATTCACTAATTGCATCGCCACTCAATTTGAAACCATTTTCAATATTTTCTTGCTGCATTGTAGCCTCTGTATCTTTGTTTATGCCCTCGCTCACAAGAACTTCAGGAACAGTTTCCTCTGAGGAGGCAGAAACGTTCTCATGAAACCCATTTTGATGGGTCAGTTTGAGCCCATCAGCAGGTACAAGGATTTCCGATTCCATCATTAGGTGTAAACTACAAAAGATGAAAGAAACATATGCCCCATAGCATATAGAAGAAGGAACAAACATTACAAGACATCAAGTAGAATTGCACAAGTTATCAACCAAAGCCATTACGACCTACGAAATAATTTTCAGACATTTCCTCCACAACATAAATTAAGAATTACATCCTAATTAACAGTCTTAAACGCATAAAAGAATTCTCAATTGCAGAAATTTTGCTATTCATAGATCGATGCCATGCATTTACATTCAACTTACTGAAATTATCAATGGAAAGACAAGCATAGAAACACATTCACCCAGTTCATAGTCTTCATAATTTATACGAGAACCGAAAAGAATGTCTGAATAAAAAAAAAAATTCACAAACAGCTAGTTCGTTCCAAAATTATTGAAAGAGCAACACATTTCTAGAACGAAGACACGTGGTGGAGGGTGGTTTGAAAACCGTCAAACCTTTCTTCCCAAAGAAACCGTGCACAAAGACTTGGGCAATGATTTAAACAAATTTTCCCACGACTTCGGCATTAACCATAAACCGAAGATTAATAAGCCACACTTACTCATCAATCAATCCCATTACAGAAGTTCTATCCAAAAACAACTAAGCGAAATCATGAAATCAAGCATCGTCACACATACCCTCCGATTTGCAGATTGAGGCAACATATGCCAAAATCAGAATTCCACCATTCTCATTCCATTATTCAGATTCAAGCATAAATATCAAATGACAAACATTATTCCAAGTCGATCTATTCGTAGAGTAAGCATGCGGCAAATCAATCCATCTCAAAATAAGCCACAAAAAAAGACATCTACCTTTCCGCTCGGCAGCAAGAAAGAAATCACAAGAAACATGCACTAAACTTTCCTCTCGCAAACACAGTCACACAAAAACGATAAGATTCATCACCACCATCACCTCCTCCTCCACAGCAAGCTCAAATACAAACAAACAAAACAAAACAAAACCACACCAACACACTCACTCACCTCGAAAACCGCGCAAACGAATCAGAACCTCATGAAAAAAAAAATCGCGGAAGCTTAGATTCGAGGCACAAGATTGACAAACCAGCGGATAGGATCTGCAACAAAAGAGAAACAGATAATGCCGGAGCAGAGATCCACGGATCCAAAACAAGTTCTAGCGATTCCAACAATGGAAGAACAAATTGGAGAAACTTGAAAGGGAGAAAATGAGAGGGAAATGGAAATCTCAGAAGCGGGGAGTGGAGAGAGCAGTAGCATTCAAATCCATTTCCAGGTCAAGTCCGCTTTCCATCAAAGAACAAAGAGAGAGAAAGAGATAGAAAATACAAAGAGATGGAGAAGACAGAATTTGAATGGAAAATAAAATTTATTTGTTTCTTAAATTATTTATGGAATAGATTAAAAATAATAATAATAAATAGACGGAGGAAAAGAAAAAGAAAAAGGGTAAATAAAAAATAAAAAATAAAAAATACACGGTTAAAAAAAAAGGAAGATATCTACAGTTACCCGATTTTTCAGGGTAAAAAAAAGTTTTACACGGTTAATTAACCGACGGCTCTACCCCACTCTTCTCCCTCATCCAATCATCCCAAAACTGAATTTCTGTTTTTTTTTTTTTTTTTTTTTTTTTTTTTTTTTTTTTTTTTTTTTTTTTTTTTTTTTTTTTTTTTTTTTTTTTTTTTT